CAGGGGATGACAGAGCACGGCCTACAAACCCCGCCGGACGCCGTGGAGTGAGGGGGCCTCTCACCTCCGGGGGCAAGATGTTCCAAAGGGCGGGGGCCACAGCAGAGAAGGCCCGCCTCCTGGACCCCGCTAATTGAAGTTCTTTTACTGCGTTATGCTGCTTGAACAAAGATAAAAGTTCTAAAAACTATAGAAGTTTAAATATAAGGCATATACAGAGACATCCGTATTTCTTTAGTGAAATTACTCATCTAGTTTTGCTTTCTGATAATGAAATCTTTTTTTTTTGTCCATAGCTGGTCTGAGAGCACAATATGGCCACAAGGGGTGCTGGTACGGCATAGTCGATGCTTATATAAAGCAGTGGGACCTTATAATGTAGCAGTACCTTCAGATGTCTCCCACGCTCGTTTTTATGTAAGTATGAACTAGTGGACTACTGAGGGTTTGGGAATACATTACTTTCTACCATGAGATAAAAAGAGTTCAGTTCTTTTACAACAACAACAGCAACAAATCATTAATAACCAGCATAGGTTGGAGGAACTTAATGTCTTGTTAACAAAATGTGGTTCTTCACTGCTATTCAGAGATAATGCTGCTAATAAGTTCTAAAAACCAGAGACTTCCCTTTGTCCTGGCAGACTGTTAATAATTCAAGCCTCCTCTACTCATACCACCTAATGTAATTGGATATATATGGTCTAGCGGTATATATTTCCATTTAGCCTGAATATTCTGTTTGTTAAATCTAGTCCTATTAATAGAACTAATTGAGAAGGCATGATTCCAGGTCCAACAAGATGACATTAATATTTTTATTTATTTGAATTTATAAGCCACCCAACTCCAGTGGATTCTAATGGAGCATGCCCTCTCTATTAGTTCTGGTGGAGTGGGTGGAAACAATAGGAGAAAAACAATCTGGCAAGTAGCCTGGCCCTATGCCATGGAGAGCTTTATAGGTGATGACCAGCACCTTGAATTGTACCTGGAAACCTTCTGGGAGCCAGTGCAGCTCAGAGAACACGGACTGTGGTTTTGATACATCCTTCTCCATACAGGCACAACTTTAGCTCATATGGATTTTTTTTTTATCTGGTCAAGTCTCAGAGGTTAAGCAGGATCTTCCGCAATCAGTTTGGAAAATCTCATGGAGCTATTCACGGCTAGCTGAAGTTAGGCAAATACGTATGTTTATATATTTTGGCCTAACTTCTATAACGTCTCATTTATGTATATCTTTTTTCTTTAAGGAGCTTGTAGCAGCATTGTTTTTTGTTCTCATAACTGTAAAGCAGGTTAGGCTAATTGTGACTCTTGTAACATCACCAAATTGCTTCATAGTAAAGAGAGGGTTTAACTGGAACATCTCTGTTTTGAGCTCCATGCTGAAGATGCAGGTGTCAGACTCCGACTTTGCATAATTTAATTTGTTTATGTTACAAAAACATAACTGAAATATAAATGCTGAAAGATGCTTTTCTAAAGCTTCATAGATTTATCACATTATTTTGTAAAATGGAAAACACTATCTATAGGTTGTAATGGCTATACCACACATTTTACTAGTTTCTCTCAGAAACGCACCAACACACAAGTCTGTTTTCATAATTTAATCATATATCAGAATTAAGTTTAAGTATGGCTTATTCCCAATTTAAATGTGGCTAGAATTGTACCTTGTAGCATGTGCCGGGCAAGTGTACTGAGAAGTGAGAGAAAGTGAGGCTTTCTTCTAAGTGGAATTGCAGATACAGAATAGTTATTCTCTTCGCAATAGAATTTGCTAGCCAAGCAGTTTTCTTATTGACTACGTTGAGCATGTGAATCCTGTTTTCATTAAACTTCCAAAGCAACTGACAATGTGAACCAAAATAAACATTGTATTTAATATCTGAAGCTAAAGAGAAGGGGTTTTAAAAATGCAGTGAAAGGTATTAATGTGTTATTTCTTTCCAGTAGCTTTGTTGGAATTATTGGTCTTGGTCTCTTTTCCCCGTTCCATAGCTCCATATGTATGAAGGAGGCAGATGGTTTAGCATTTAAACACACTTTGTTTCCCTTTCTAGTTCCTCTTCCACCATCCATTACGGCTCCTCAATCTACTGATTCTCATAGAAGGCAGTGTGGTCTGTTATCAACTCTACTCCCTGCTTCGCTCAGAGAAGTGGAACCATACGCTCTCCATGGCCCTGATACTCTTCTGCAACTATTATGTCTTATTTAAACTCCTGAGGGACCGAATAGTATTGGGCAAGGCATACTCTTATCCACTCAACAGCTATGGGTTAAAAGCCCATTAGTCATCTGAGGAAGGGAAGGATATTTTCATACAGTTATATTTTTTCCTTGCAACTGTTTATAAATATTTAAAAAAATATTTTATATTTTGTATACTACTGTTTTTTGTGGGGTAGGGAAGGGCCAAGTGGCAATTAAATGTCGCTTTATAAACAAGGTTATTTTATATAAAGACATCATTGTGTATATACTGTATATCAACATATATCTATGTGAAGCAAGAGCATTGTATGTGTGGTCACTCTTATCTACTGTGCATGCAGGTTAGCCATCATAAAACTGTTAGTTTTATGTATAGGACTTACCTATTTGTTATACATCTAGCCAAAGGGTGGCCATTTCTTACAGCTGTTGTAGACAAGACATGTGCAACTTCCTGGGTCCCTTTTTATGGTCACTGATTTTTTTAAAGAACATGCCATCAAAAAACCTTGCCAAAATTGGTATTTTTAAAGCATAAAAATGGTAATGGTATGCTTCAGGTTTTTTTTAAACCTCTCTCACATAACAGAGCGCTCCAGCACCCTCAGATTTAAAGAATAGTTTTCTGAACCCCTTCAAGTAGCATAAATAGAGCAATAAAATAAAATATTATTCAACATCACATGGCGCAGTAGGCAAGATCATTTGATTTTGCACATTATTGAACTATATTCTCAAACTGCATGTGATGTCCAGCTTGCATGGGATTCCTCAGTAGGCAAGGAAGGAAGTGAAACTAATTAAACATACGTCCTGTATTGCTATTTCTATTTTCTACTGCATCCTCAAAGGCTGTTTTGCATTTTATATACAATTGGAATTTTAAAAGACTGGTATTTTCTTTATTACAATCACAGATGAACACAAGCTTTTAATTCGTCGTTTTGCAACAGAGTAATCCAAGCAGGGCCCATGGTCATCTTTGGCGATTGGAGGCTCAGCATTTTTTAATTAAAAACAATTAAATAAGGCTGGCCTCTGCAAACTACTAGCCTTTAGTAATTTCCAGTAGTGTTCAGAGCCCTTAAGGCATCTTAGAGGAAAAGCTTGGATGGCTGCAATTTAGTCCCTCTTTTTGAAGGTGTATCCATAGGCCGCAGAAAGAGGGATAAAGGCAAGTATTTCTATGATCTGAATGTTTTATGACTGACCATTCGTAACAGCCATTTTGTGAAAACATTCAGAGCCAGTTCTGTATTTTAGAGCTACCAAATGTGGACTGCAAACATCTGGATGGCTACTAGATGGTAACAAAAAATTAGATAGAGCTCTAACTCTGGCCTCTCAGATTTTTGCAGCCCAGATCGGATAGCCTGCCTTGAAATACCAGATAAGCCTTCTGCCACATAATGGTTACCTCCCCCTTACTTTAATAAATGTCCTTTACATGTCTTTGGTCAGATTTCTATACAATGTTATTAGACTTTAGGGTAGCTGATAGGGTGCACCTATCACCCTAATCTACCCTGTAGATTTGCAGAGCAATATGAGAACTAAAGAACAGCTTTTTCCAACAGAAGTGTGCAAGCTAAACAACTTTTTTTCCAAATTGAAATGATTATAGACAAGTTGGGAGTGAGAATTAAGTCCTTCTCTCTAGTTTATGCGTGCAACCACAGAAGTTCTGGGCCTAAATCTTATTTACTTTGTCTAACAGAATGCAATAGGCACAGGCATGATCACTTTTACTTTCTGCTTATAGATACTCCATTCCTTGCTTTTCTGGGATGTATTCTTGGCCATTCTACATTGTGGCAAAATGTTTAGTAGTAAAAAAAACCCACTTGCAGAAATAAAAAGGCTACAGAAATACCACTTAAAATACATAAAATAGCAGGAAAAACAATACTATAAGGTTGAGAATCCTCTCTGGATGCCATTGTCCCAGTAGTCTTATGCAATCTGACAGTAATGAAGAATTACTTTTTGAGAAAAAAAAATCACTGATATGTATTACTAAACTAACCTTGCATTTTTTTACAGGTAGTCCTCGCTTGACAACCAAAATAGGGACTGGAAAATTGATTGTTAAGCAGGCAGTCATTAAGCGGTCACCACATGACCGGACCCAGTGTTAGGACCATTTTTATGACAGTTAAGCAAAGCACCATGGTTGTTAAGTGAATTGTGTGGTCATTAAGTGAATCTAGCTTTCCCAATTGGACTTTTTTGCCAGAATTCACTTAACGACTGTAGTAAAAAGGTCACAAATTGCGATCACGTGACCACCGGGGATGGTGCGACAGTTTGCAATGGTCGTAAGTGCGAGTACAGGTTGTAAAGCACTTTTTCCAAGGCTGTTGTAACTTTGAACTGTCATTAAATGAATGGTTGTTAAGTGAGGACTACCTGTACATTATTCTGTGACATAGCTTGATTTTGATAGTTTTTGCAAAGATAAATATTGAATAAGTGTACTGGGGGCTTTATATCTACTGTATATCAGAATAATTTATGTAGGTTTGAGAAGAGAGAGGCTTTTACAGGAAACCAGATTTACTCTCGTACAAATTCAGCAATATGTGTGCTCACACCATTCATTATCAGGGAGAATTGTAAATGTAATAGTCACAAACTGTTGAACATTTACAGAAGAATGGATAAAGGAGAATGGATACTTGCTTATAGAGGTTTACTCCCTCAGATTGTTCAATTTAACGTTAATTCAAGACTACTGCTCCTAAACCCAAAACAAACCTACACAATCTGTAAACACTCTCTCCCGCTGCCCATTAAACACAGCCTATAGTATAAGGGTTGAAAAAATGCCCTTTTCTATTCAGTGTAAACTTTTATTGAGAACCATGGTTCTCAAACTGCACTGGCCCAGACCCAAGCCCAGGGTTGGAACTCTCCCATTTCATTCTACTGATAACTTCAACACCAAAAGTCAACCAATCTAATATGGTGACTATTATCACAATGCCTGTAACTATCCTAAGATTATTTCTGAAAAAATTCTTACATCTTCAGTATTCTTTGCCCTAAGGCTAGCTTGGTTCAGAATGATGTCTATATTAATTCCAATGGTTTATTAAACACTATTCTGAGGCACACCCAAACTTTAAGTTTAGAATATTAATCTTTGGAAAACTGCCAGGCCAATCCTCGAAACGTGCACATTCACATGGCCAGGAGAAGAAATGGCATATTGTATTAATGTCAGAGGGAATGTATTTCACATACATTGATCAGTATCTTCCATCCTCATATTTTCTGAAGCAATTGCTTTCTGGCACTGGTAAAGTAATTAGCTTTCATTTTGACATAGGAAATTAACATTCTACTGAACTGTAGAGAAATACAACTGGGTGATATCACCAGAAGATATATTTGGTTAGGCCTCTGTCAAAGTTGGGTGGTTGTCTTTTTTAAACTCTACATGCATGTCACCCTTTTTAACAGTGTCTATTTTCCATGCAAGAAAAATACCAAGAATGCTATGCTATATACTATACCATACCATACCATACATGCTGAATGCAAACATCACATATTCAAAGCACCTCCAAACAGAGACTGTGCACTGAGGTATCTGAATAGAATTTGTTCCATCCCAAGAATCTGCAGCATCTGGATGTTTATAAGCAAGTGGTATCAGTACAAACTGTAATCTCTGCAGACACCTACAATGCTGTATATCTTTTAATAAGTGATTTCATTTCAATTTAATTTTCTCAGCAGTTTTTAATGGGAGCTGGTGCCTGACCAGAAAACATTTCTAACTTTCCTGCCTTTAAGCCATTCATACTCTAAACAGACAACTCAACTGGAACTGGAACTGTTAAGGAATTCTGAAGCTGGCTGTATTATTCCAGAATATCATAGTAAATTATTGGTTTTGCCGGTGTGTCATGAAATTGCTCCAGCTTCAAGCCTATCTGGAATAGCAGTGCTTCTTTCCATCACTTTGTCATGATCTGTGAAAGATACAGTAAGATTCATATGAAAAAAATGCTGAGATACCTTGTTCGAATATACTTGGAGAGGGCAAAGATAGTTTCTGTAAGCTCATTTTATCTCTGGCTGTAAAGAAGAGCTTTGAGAAACTGGGTGTAAAACAATTAGGGCCAAAGGAGAAGTAGACAAACTGGAAAATCATTACTACAATTATTTATTGGAATAATTACAAAAGTGCTGTTTCCAAGTGTTATACATTTTAACCAATAACAGAAAAGCAGACAAAATTACAAATAAAATTCAACATGATGTATATAATATTAATGACATAAATGTGCACAAAGGTTAAATTTCTCTGTGAAAATCAAATAACATTGGAAATACAAAAATAAGAGAACTGAAAAATGGCCTGTTGAAATAAATGTGAGGCCCACACAAGCTTCCCTATTAATAATCAGAATTCTGGAGGGAGGGATTACATTAGGAACCAGTGGCCCAGGTTGTCTGAAGATGTATAGATGAAAACCAACATTTTTCACTGGGCTCAGAATATAACCACATCACCCTAATATAATCAGAATACCTCATCTCAGTTGAACTGCCACAGCTATATTTTGTAAAATTGGATCTTCTTTAAAGGCATTACAATAATCAAATACAGAATGCCCTTTCTTACATAATATACCTAATAGATCCAACATGTCATGCAAAGCCAGAAGCCTGATCATTTCCAGGTCAGGATCAATCTTGTAAAAGCCCCACTCTCAGGAAGGTTGATTATATGTTACTTAGTTTAATCCAACTGGTGTGTATCACACACTCTGAATAGAGAGTTATTTTTGCTATCCTCTGGGGTCAAATATAGAGATAAACACATAAAGCATCCCACAAAATGGGGCTCTTCTAGGTCCTTTCTTTTCAAATTCTTACTTCCCAAAGAGTAATCCAGGGATAAAAAGAACAGAAAGGAAATAGGATGTCTAAGCACTTCCAGCTCTAACCTGAACAGACCACTAATTTACATACTTAAAAAATAAACAACAGCTATCTAGCCACTGCAAAGTGGCTGGAATGCTGCCAAAGATGGCAACCCCTACAATGATGCAGAGCCATTGCATCCCTAGATTTATGATATTGGTGATTACCCATGGATCAGGCCAGACTGGGTTTGCTGTGAATATGTCTCATCTGTTGTTTTTTGAAACAAAATTGGTTATAGGTTATTCACTAATATTTTAGTGGCTGTTTCTGTCAACACATTAGGAATGCCATACAGCCCGTGGTGTATTAACTCCCTTTCTAGATGATGGACAACTTCCCAATTCCCTTTTTTGAAAATCCATACTCAGTCAAAAAGATTTTTAGGATACACTTAGAACCACCTGCCAAACAAGCCACAATTCAAATACACCTCAATATTGTTTCTATAAACTATAAGCTTCTATAACTGGAAGCAGATTCTGTCTCTGAAAAGCTGTGAGATAAACAAATAGGATAAATCATCCTAAATTAAAGGCATCAGTATTTGATATTTAACTAAATAATACATTTTTTACTTGCTTCCTTCCCTGAATTTGCAAAGCAGGTGGAATAAGAGAATCTGTGTGAGTTTCAGTAGGATTTGGTATCAATATAAAATATATAAGGAAACACGTCAATTTCTAAATCACCATCTGTGATTATTGGCAGGAAGGGCTAGGAAGGGATATGGCCACATCTGAGGGGGATTCAAAAAGTAAAAAATGAAACTGGATGAATGTAGGTGGATGAATTAATCAAAAAGAAAATTATTATTCTTAATTGGGTTCATTGAGTTCACACCAAAGAACAGAATAAATTACCTGAAGGCTGATGGGAAGCCCTGAAATTGTATATCCAACTGACTAGGGCTGGAATGCCTATCAAGTTGGCCAACTGCATGTATCTGGAAAGATCAATGGAAACAGTATTATTAGCGAGGAAAATTCTGGACAAGAAATACCAATCTCTCTATAGATTGTAAACCCAAGCCTCTTTGAATGTATTTGGCAAGGCACAAAGAACATTTTTCTTCCCCATACAATTCTAACCAACACAGATGGTTTTAATAGCTGCTGTATAGTCAAGCAGTGGAAATTCAAGAGTCAAGTAGCCAACAAATACATTTAAACGGAAAGAACTTTAAGGCAAATAGGCCAAAATTATGTCATAATTTCCGCACATCAAACGGGAGAAAGGAGTGGATAAGACTGAGACCATATCTTAATGGAAAGATGCAATACAAATCTAATAAAATATAAATAAATCATAGAATGACATATTCTTTTTTCAGATCATCACACAGTTTTTTGTGTAACCACAATGGCTTCTCTCCTCCATTGTTTCCCTTCATTAGAATTGTATGCAATTGTGCTTTTAGGAACCTTACCCATCTCGAGCAACTTTTCTCATTAACTTACATTGCTAAGTGTATTAAAATCAATTACTAAAATTGTTTATACTTCTTGTGATGAAGGTTGGAAGTCACTTCTTTCTTCTTTCTTCTATTTTTTTCTTTGCACTTTTTATTCTTTCTACTCATCTTTTAGTTTATTAGTTTTTACTATTACAATTATAATCTTTAATAAAATTATTAAAAAAGAAGTTTAACTGAAGTGTCAATGACTATGTGTCTTTGAAAGACATGGAATCTGGCTTTGAAGGTATCATCCACAAAAAGATGCCCTAGAAGCTTGATTTCATTCCTCTCTCATCTCATTATCTTGCAGCTGTCACTTAGTTTTTTATTGCACACAATCTTGTTCTCATCTCATGGCCCATAGAGCTGTCTGAACATCACTACATCCAGTCAGGAGGCCTGATCCATGGATTGTTGGGGCACAACTTGCAGTACCTTGCACAAAACAAAAATTCTAAAATTATAGGCTTTTATTTTATACAGCTATTGTGCATCATCAAATGCAGAACTGTTCAATTAAGAATGAAAAATCCTTCTAATCTATTAAAATAGTACTTCAAATTTTTAAAAAATCATGATTTTGACTATGTTGTCTTTGGAAATCCTAATATGCTGTTTAAAATGTAATATACACATTTTTATAAACAACTACGTTGAGTTAATACAGCTTTAATAATAACTGATTAAACTTGTATGCCACCCAACTCCCAATGATGTAAATGAGTTTTCAGCTTTTCATAAAATGTTAGAGTTGGAAGGGGCCATTGGATCCAAACCCCTACTGCTACAGGAATCAAATGTAAAGCATCCTGAACTTATAGTTGTGTAGCCTGTGCTTGAACATATCCAGTGAGCAGGAACCATCACTTCTTTGTCTAAGTGGTTCCTGTCACATTGCTTTTGTTTTTTAGGAACATTTGATAGATATTATGCTCATTCACTTGGATTTCTGAGTAGGAATGGGTATTTTGCATACAATGCACTTGTCCCTTTCTCTTGCTTCTGTTCCTTTTAAACAGATTACATTTTCAATGGACCATTCAGCCTATTAAATATTAGTTGACAATATTTTGATCTGTGATATTAATTAATGAAGAAATAATAGCTGTTTGGTCCAGGTTTTTTTTTATCTTCTGCTTCTTCTTGGTCTGTATTCCAGAACATTTTGTTATACAGTGCATTCAGAAAATATTCAGACCCCCTTCATTTTTTTCAATTTTGTTATGTTGCAGCCTGATACTACAATCATTCAAATTCATTTTTTTCTCATTAGTCTACACTCAGTACTCTGTATTCCAGAACATTTTGTTATACAGTGCATTCAGAAAATATTCAGACCCCCTTCATTTTTTTCAATTTTGTTATGTTGCAGCCTGATACTACAATCATTCAAATTCATTTTTTTCTCATTAGTCTACACTCAGTACCCAAGAATGACAAAGTGAAAACAGAATTTTAG